CGCCACGCTGCTCAGCACAGACACCGCCCCCTCTGCGTCAGCGTTCGCCCCACGCCGCGTCCTCGCTGGTCCCTGCCGCAGTGACTTGCGGTTCGGCCCTGCACATTCCTCACGCGGCCCAAATGGTCTAGCTCTTTCAAAGTCCCCGTTCTTGACTCTTTTATTTTCTTCTGAGACTCTGGGAAATATTGGCCATAAAGGCATATGGAAAGGAAATAAATTTTCGTGGGAATTTCGAAGAGGAAAGAGATTCAATAGGGTGTTCGTATGTAGCGAAAGTGCGGCCGAAGTTAGACAGCTGTATTTTCCTCGTAGCCCTCTTCCTCCCCCCGCGTTCACCGAAGCAGATGAAAACAAACACTAACGATGGCGGCGCCGGGAAGCGGCCGGCCGAAGGGCTTAACGCAGGAGTGAGCGCTTGAGTTGTGAGGAGAGTCGAGAGGCTCCGGTCGACGTGTGTGCGACGACTCGCTCAGTCTTGAGAGCGAATACTGGGGGTGTTCGATCCACGAGCCTCCTGAGGGGTGAACTGTCTGCGACCCGGGCTGTCAGTGCTGCTCCGGAGCGCAGAACCTTCGGCCGGGAGGCGCAGCTGGCCGGCCCCGGGCCCCTGCCTCCGTAATGAGAGCCCCGAGCCACTCTTTGTGTCGCAGCTTTGCAGGTACTAACTTTGGAGGGGATACCCCCAGACCTCTCAGCGCCCCCGGGTGGGAGGCTATGGATCTGCGGCCCGTCGGGGGCCTCCTTGGGAAGCTGAAGCTGACCAGCCACAGTTCAGTTCCCTGAGCTTTCTCTGGGAAGTCGGGTTGGTGTAGGCTACATTGGGCCTTGATTGTTCCCCGTCTTTACAAAGATCCCAGAGCTTTCGTCTCTACTTTCTCAGTTCTTTGGGTGAAGTCCTAAGGGGTTTTGGAGATAATTTGGGGTTCATAACTCCGGGGTTGGGTACCAATATGAGTTTGGTTAGGTTTTCATTCAATCAAGATTTGCTGAGTGCCAAATATGTACTCCGCGTGTAGGTGAGGGTGACTGTTGACTAGTGAAAAAAGGGACCCAAGGTTCACGACTATCTTCTTACTGGCAGTGGAACGACCTGAGGAAACCTGCGATCCATTCTCATTAAATAAATCTCTGGGTAAGTGGCTAAGCACCTTCTTGGGTTCATCACTAACGCATCTCAGTTTTCACTTTCTCAGCCAGCTCTCAGTTTTCCTCGTCAGTTCAGAGTAACGTTACACTTTCAGTGTTTCTTCCTCTTCTGGGCATCCTGCCTCTACAAAGAGGAAAAAGAGGGAGAGAGATCTGGAGAAGGAATGTGAATGAATGAATATTAAAGAAAAAAAAAGTACCTGTTTTCTTATTTTTAGTTTAAAACTCATCTCCTAAGATGGTAGAGTCTTATTGAGCACCTTCAGTGGGAGGTGTGCAGTAATAAGAAACAATAGATCCTTCCCTTACACTAAGTTAAGCTCCAGATTTTCATGTGTTGTTTTATGAGTGTTCTTTTCATGTGGGTATTGTGGCTCCAACTATATTACACACTTTTTGTTTTCAACTCCCTTTTCCACAAGGATTTATAAGAGCAGAAGTCTTACAAATGTTTGTAGAATGGAATCCAGATTTAATATTTTTGGTACACAATGGATGATGAAAAAGTGCTGGAGCAAGTGTCACATATACTGATTTGTATAGTAAAACACATGTGAATTTATTCACTGTTCCCAAACTGTATCCCGTTGCCTATAAAATGAAGAAGACGATGAACAAAAAAAAAAAAAGACGACGACGATGGCAACTTTTGAGATTCACATTTCATAAAATTTGTAAACCACTGGTTTTCCATTACTGTACACCTAACAGTAATTATTGAATACTTGTATTTTTTCCCCTCAAGAGTGGATATTAAAATGGAAGCAAAAACTGCAGATCTTCAGCTACTAAACACTCCAAATTGTAATAAATATATATATTTTTTAAATATATTTCTTTATTGATTTCAGAGAGGAAGGGAGAGGGAGAGAGAGATAGAAACATCAATGATAAGAGAGAATCATTGATTGGCTGACTCCTGCAAGTTCCCTACTGGGGATAGAACCCGAAACCCGGGTATGTGTCCTTGGCCGGAATCGAACGCGGGACCCTTCAGTCCACAGGCCGATGCTCTATCCACTGAGCCAAACCGGCTAGGGCCAAATTATAATATTTTATTTAGGGACTAACTCAGTTAGACACAGTGGGATCCTACCATATACTGGAATTGTACTGAATTGAGGTTGGGGCAATAAATCTTTTTCCTTATTGTCTTTCCTGCCCCCATCCACCCAACTGCATTAGCTTATATCTTCCATGATGACTCAGCAGGATGTCTATAGCCTAAATGCAAAAATAGCCTAAGACATTAACTTTTGAGCTTCCAAAGTCTAAAGTGTTACTATATAAGTGATTTTCCAAGGCTGTTTTTTACTATTTCGAAAAAGTAGCCACTGTAGAATTTATTGCACCTTCTGGAAAAAGTTACTTAATCTTAATAATGCCTGGACATCCCTAAAACTTCGTTTGTTATTGCTAATTGAAAAGAAAAAACAATATTTATTTTCCTTTTAAAGTCCTTTTTACTTTATCACAGAAGAGATGAATAATTACATTCATAACACTGGTTGGAGAGCTGCTTAGATCACAGAGAATGAAGAGTATACTTTAAAAAATTCCTCACTAATATGACCTTTTATTATTTTACTTTATCACAGAAGAGATGAATAATTACATTCATAACACTGGTTGGAGAGCTGCTTAGATCACAGAGAATGAAGAGTATACTTTAAAAAATTCCTCACTATTATGACCTTTTATTATTCAACTTAAAGTTTTTTGTTTTGTTTTAAATTTATAGAGAGAGAGAAAGGAAGAGAAAGAGAGAGAAACATCAATTGTTCTTATTTATGCATTGGTTGCTTCTTGTATGTGCCCTGACCCGGGATCAAATCCACACAACCTTGGTGTTTGGGATGATGCTCTAACCAACTGAACTACTTGGCTAGGGCCTTAATTTGTTTGATTGTTTTTGACTGAAAGAAAAGTAGAGACTCGCCATTAAGAAATGGCAGTATCCATAGCCAATGAGGTTTATCCAAGGTGCGATTATTGCTAATTGAAAAGAAAAAACAAAAATGCAGGCTGGCTGACCTGAGTGGCTCAGTAGGTTGAACGTTGTCAGATGCACCAAAAGATTGCCGTTGCCATACTCGATCAGAGCACACATCTGTGTTGCGGGCCCCATCCCTGGTTGGGGCATGTATGGAAGGCAACCAACAGATGTTTCTCTGTCTCTCACTCTTTCTTCCCCTCAGTTTTAAATATCATTTTTTTTTTAAAAAGGTCACCGTTCTGCTAATATTTGAGCTGCCATATTGCCTAGTATTATTATTTATCATTTTTTTTAAACATGGTTTATTGATTTTTTACAGAGAGGAAGGGAGAGAGATAGAGAGTTAGAAACATCGATGAGAGGGAAACATCGATCAGCTGCCTCCTGCACACTCCCCACTGGGGATGTGCCCGCAACCAAGGTACATGCCCTTGACCGGAATCGAACCCGGGACCCTTGAGTCCGCAGGCCGATGCTCTATCCACTGAGCCAAACCAGTTAGGGCTATCATCATTTTTTTTTATCATTTTATAAGAAATGAAGATTGGCCCTAGCCGGTTCAACTCAGTGGTTAGAGCATTGGCCCAAGGACAGAAGGATCATGGGTTCGATTCTGGTCCAGGGCATGTACCTTGGTTGAGGCTCTATCCCTGGCCCTGCTTTTGGTCCAAGCGCATGCAGGAGGCAACCAATTGATGTGTCTCTCTCACATCAACGTTTCCCTCTCTCTGTCGCTCCCCCTCCCTTCCATTCTCTCTGAAAATCAGTGGTAAAAAAAATATCCTCTGGTGAGGATTAAAAAAAAAGAAGCCCTGGCCGGTTTGGCTCAGTGGATGGAGCGTCAGCCGGAGAACTGAAGGATCACAGATTATATTTCAGTCAAGGGCATGTACCTCGGTTGAGGCTATCCCCAGTTCTGGGTGATTTGTGGAAGGCAACCAATCAATGTGTCTCTCTCACATTGATGTTTCTCTTATTCAGATCCTCTGTATTTTTTATATCTACTTGAGTGCTCAAAGAGGTATATTGTGTCTTCAGGTATATTTTTGTTTTTATCAAGCTCTGCTAGTATCTCTAGGAATTTTTGCTTCATGTATTTTATTGCTATATTGCTAATGTAAAGGTTTATGGCCCTGATTGGTGTGGCTGGTCGGCCATCGCATGGGTTAGATTCTGTCTAGGGCATGTACCTGGGTTGTAGGTTTGATCCCTGGCCCTGTTCAGGGTACCTGTGGGAGGAAACCAATTGATGTGCCTGTCTGTCTTTCTCTGTCTCCCTCTCTCCCTCCCTCTCTCTCCTCTCTCTCCCCTGCCCTCACTCCTTTCCACTATCTTTAAAAATCAGTGGGAAAGCTATCCTTGGGTAAGGATTAACAAAACAAAACCAAAAATTTATAGATGTTAAATTTTTCAGAGATTATCACCACTCAATGTCCCTTTTAATCTCATTTCATAACTTTTGACCTGGAATTCCATTATAAATACTTCTGCTTTCTTTTTGTCCTTTTTCTTTCCTCTTCCTCTTTTTTCAAACTGAGTACATCTGCTTATTTCTTTACTTTTAAATTTTCTTTGTAACTCTTTTCGGTATGAAGATGATTTCAGTTTTTAAACTTTGGTGTTTCTCATTTGTCTACAAAGAACTTTCTAAATGGAATAAAGGATCTTTGTATTTTAATAATAACTCTGATGCCTGAAGTGGGGAAATGACTGTTTTGTTCAGTTTGCACTTGAACTTAACTATTTTGTCTCGTTAACTG